CGAGAGGCGCCAGCGCTGCCCTGCGCCTGCGGCCGTGCCCCGCTGGGGCCTGGCTCCCCCCGCGGGTGTGTTGCGGTGCGGTTATTGAAAAGGGTTTGTCACCTCCTGGCCGGAGCGTCAGAGCCGCCTGATGGGGTGTCTGGAAAAGTTCCCACGTGTGCAGGACGGAGAGCTCGGGTATTCTTTCTGGTTGGGTTTCTCAGAGCTTTAGCAGAGTTTTCAGAAGTAATAATAATTTCTTTTCCCTTTCAACAGGTCAAAACTTGCTGAGCCTTTAATTTCACCACTTCTCAAGAATTCACATGGTGATTTAAAAAGAAATAACACCCCTCAAATTCAGGCTGTGTCAGCGTGGCACCGAGTGTCACCCGACAGGCAGCTAAACACCACCCAGGCGTTCGCTCATTCCCTGCCCCACAGTGGGACGGGGAGGGGAATCATAAAAATAACCCAAACATTTCGTGGGTTGAGATAAAGACAGTTTAATAACAAAAGGAAGGGAAAGTATATACCAGTAAAAGAGTTAGAATATACAAAACAAGCGATGCACAATACAGTTGCTTCTCACCAACCAACCGATGCCCAGCCAGTTCCCAAGCAGCTGGGGTCAGCTCTGCTGGCAGCGGCCTCCTCCTGACTGCCTGTGTCCCCCCTCCTCGCTGCCAGGGCAGTATGAGAAGCTGAAAATTCCTTGACTTAGTGTAAACACTGCTCAACAACAACTAAAACAGTGTGTTACCAACATTCTCATCCTAAATCCAAAACACAGCACTATACCAGCTACTAGGAAGAAAATTTATCCCAGCTGAAACCAGGGCACACAGCTTTTCCTTTGAGTATAAATACAGAAAGATGAGAAGGTGGGAGAAGATAAAGGGCAAAACACTTGGGAAACACGTTTTATTCAGAAGAACTTTTGAGGATCCTTTTTGTTGCAAAGCAGAGTAATGCAACATTGCGGTAAAACTGAGAAAGTAATTCCAGGAACAGAAGTAGAAGCTCAGGCTGGTTTTTAGAAACATACTGTTACTGACTTAATTACTGCAACATCTCCTGAAGTGTCCTCAGGGCTTTTTCCTCCACTTATCCTCTTGGATGCCAGTTTACATTTGTTCTCTGAGCCCACACTGGCCTTACAAGTGTTTTCTGTGGAGTAAAATATGTTATTTACCCACAGTAAGTAGCCTAAACTGTAAACTCTCTTGAAAGCTTTCCAGGAATCAATAGAAGAAGATCACGCATCTACCAGATCTCCATGTAAAATCCCTTTTTATTTCCTCTAAGAGTTGCCAGACTCCATCTGTTCAGTGCTTTAGCGGCTGTGAAGAAGAGAGCTCAGCTGTCACACCTACAGCATCGGGTGCCAAGGGGGAAAGGGGAAAGCTCCTCCCGTCTGCCAGCCGCAGGAGCTCCTCAGCCAGAACGTGCCATCTGGGGAGGGTAGAAACACAGAGGCAGATTCCTCCAGCAAGCAGGATTTGGGCTTTTAAATGACAGAAATCACCCTTCTTGCTGTGTGCTGTGGCTCGGTTGACTGCTGATTCAGGGCAAAGCTTTGAACATGACTGAGGGACGTAGTGGGGGAATTCTCTCTCTGCTAAGAGGTGCCAGCAGCTGTTCTTTATAGGTGGCCATTGCTGAAGCAGAGTCCACCCCCAGGAGGGAAACACATCAGATTGTGATCAGATTCTTTCCTCTACCTGGCACTGGGCCTTGAGTGCGTGGCTGGCCCTTGCAGGTAGCATTAGAAAAAGAAACATTTTAGTTCTTTACTCATTCGCATAAGTGAGCATAAAAGCTGCCTGCCTGTCTTCAGGAGATATATCTGAAGGACCCGTATCTCTGCTGAATATAGGCAAAGTCTGATACAAACGTTGGTTCTATCTTTGGATTTGAGCTTGTCTTTCACATTCTCTGGTGGGTGTAGGAAGGCTGCTGTGCTTGCATATGAATAATCAGTGTCACAGGTCAGATGATACGCTTTTCCTGTCATCGGGCAGACTCTCCTATGTAGTTTAGGGAACCAAAAACTCTTGTGAAAACAACTTAAGTTCCCTTCCCTTCTCTGCCCAATTTCCTGTGCTGGGTTGAGCAATTTGGGTTTAGAAAAGGAACCTCAAGTGTCTCATGACTGGTAACAGAACTCAGCACCCCTGGAAAACCACTTTCCCCTGTGCTCTAACTGACTGCAGCCAGCCCTGAGCGAGGAGTCTCCAGTCTTGCTGGAGAGCACGAATGCTGTCTGTCAAGAGTACTGCATCACTGTGCATCACGGATTTACTCAGAAAGGGGCCATGACCTGGCCTAATACTTCGCTTGTGGTAGGATAGCAAGAACTAGTCAGCTTCATTTCTTCATAGCAGAAATAGAAAGGATGGGGAATAATGTGTAGTTGCTTGCTACAACCCTAATTTAAATAAATAAGAACAAAGATACTGAAGCATTTTAAGGTTTTTTTCTTCTTATTGTAATGCCCATGCTGACAATAATCTTCTGTTATCTGGAGCCTCCAAAGTGAGATTGGATTTACACAGACACATGCAGCCAGCCAAAAATTACTAAACAGAGTGCAAGAGGCCACTGGTTTGCCAGATCTGCTACCATACAAGAATCCAGGGCAGACAATAATCCCCTTTGGACATAATGCTTCTCTGGGGATGGGAGCTGAGGCATTACCCATTTATTTTCTTTTTTCTTGCCTACTATTCCAATTAATTGACTCTTTCAAGAGCTGGGAGCAAAGGCAAAAGTTCACAATGGCTATTCCCAGACATCTGTCGAGCATGAACCTCAGCAGACCATGCGAGTAGGTAAGAAGGGATCAGAGGTGCAGATCTCTTCTTTGATGGCATTTGAGGAACTCATTGGACTACATCCCCTCTAGTCACTCAAGAGCTTCTTCAACTCAAACTCTCTTCACAGAACCATGCAAGCTGCTTAGAAAATTCACTTGATACTAGCAGCTCAGTCTGTTCTTCCAGGCCTTTTAGAAGTCTCTTACAGCTCTGATACTGGATTCTTCATGAGAGCTGGGCAGGCAAAGGAGCAGGGACAGTGCTATCCAGGCTGACACAATGGGTGATTTCAGTGGACTTAGCTTTTAGCTGCTCACTGCAAAGACTCAATAGTACATTTCTTTCACATAAAAGCAGATTGTCTGAGCTGTTCTCAGTGCCCACGAGAACATCAGCCTAGACAGAAGGTGCTATTCTACCAGATTACTACAGGTTCCAGTTCTGCCACTTGCATGTGATAGAAGAAATGAGTGTCTAGTCTTCTGTCTTAATGGGAGAAAGAAAATTCTGGTCCTCTGTTGTGTCCCTGGCTGCCTCTTCTTGAGAAAAGATGAGTGACTAAGTCACACATCTCAATCTGCAGTCAAAACAGGGCTGAACTAGATCCTAATGGCATCCTCTTGGTGAATGGTGCCCTCAATCACCGTGTCCGTGGTTTGCCTGGAGCACTTGCGACTCCCTTTCATGCTTTTCAGGTTTTCTGAAAGATGCTTCTGGAACTTCTTGGTGAGGAAGCAGTAGATGATAGGGTCCAACACACAGTTCATACTCAAGAGGCACAAAGTCACCTGGTGAGCATCATTGAGTTGTTGGCGCAGCTCACAGTTATCCTTCTCCCACTGCTCCAGAACAGTCAGGGTCCAGGGCAGGTGCACTATGTGATGAGGTACAAAGCATATGATGAACACAGCCAGCACTGTGCAAACCATCCAGAGTGCCCTTTGCTTGACATGAGCACTCTTCCGTGGCTGCACTGGTTTGGAGAACAGGGTCCTTATAATGATGATGTTCCAGCCTAGTATACAAAAGAAAATGATATAGAAGAGGACACAGATGATGACATGAATGGCGAGAACAGCTGAAACACCACTAGAAGTGTCATAGTGCTCAAAGCACCGCGTGAAATTCTTTGACTCGATCTCCTCCGGATTAGTATTATTGTCAAAAAGGTAATACAAAGAGCTGCCCACTATTATGATCCAGATAGCTGCTGATAAGTAGATACCCCTTCTCTGAGTGGTAAACTGAGCAGCTTTAATGGGATTAGTCACAGCTTGGTAACGATTGTATGTGATGACCATCAGAAAAGCAACAGAAGAGTAGGTGTTAACAAAAAATAAACAGCCAGCCACATTACAGAGGAACTCAGGCATGACCCAGTCTCCATGGTGATGATAGTAAACAATCCACATTGGCATCACAATCAAGAAGAGCAGGTCAGCTACTGTCAGGTTCACCATGAATATCTTGATTTCATTGAGTTTCTTGGTAGGGTAAATATGGCTGAAAATCCAGAGCACATAGCAGTTGGCAGCAAAGCCCAGAATGAAAATGATGCTGTAGAAAACAGTGAAGAGGTTGTAGCGAAACTCAGAGTCTATGTGGCATAAAATGTAGACATCCGCACTACCTTCGGTACCACCTTTATCCTTTCCAGACATTGTGGTGCTGAGTGGGTGCGTCTGAAGCAGAATTTCCTGCCGTAGCTTTTATTCTTACCTAAAAAATACAAATCATGAGACGAGCTGGTCAGTATGGTGCCATTGCTAAGCCAGACTCCAACTTCATTTTCAGCTGACTATGACCACAGGGGCTCTGCCCATGCCTTGGCTCCAGCCACAGACACCTGCCCTGTCCCCCCAGTCCTCCCTTTGATCCCATTTCCACACCAAACTTTCTGTCTTCATCCAGCATTGTCTGCTGCAATGTGGGTCTTGGATCACTAATTTCTAATCTCAAAAGATTTTTCTGCTTGAGGATTCTTAGATAAAATAATCTGTTACTCTGCTCTGTCTCAAGCTTCTTAATCTTTTACTATAAGCAAACAGGTTTTCTGGGTCTTCCCCCCGCCCCTCCCCCCTGGTTCCTAATGCTTTCTTTCTAACTTAACGACATTTATTTTAACCTAGAAATTCCAGAAGTAAAACAATATCTGGTAAAAATGTCTTAATGGTGCCATTTCCAGAGTTACCTTCTACTTGCTGCTTTCTGACATTTTCCTGCTTACACATGTAAAGATGCTCTTTGTTTTCTTAGTTGCAGGCACTGTAGGATCTCCCATTCACTTCATTACAGGGTACCAGACCTCTCAGTATTTTTACTCGGTGCAAAGAGGAGTCACTAATCCTAAAGGGTGATGTTTTGTGCTACACTGTTGATTTTAACCACAGTTAATTTCTCTTGAAATCCTGGCTGTTGTCTATCGTGCCATCATATTGAATTCAAGTTGTCATCAAACCAATCTGGCTCCCTTCCCCCCAGCCCCTCTCCACCATTTCTGCATCAAATGCAAGTGTCAGCAGCAGCACTTCTGTACTGTCCTGTGTGGCTGGTGAGGCTGCTGACAAACACTGTCCCTAAAGAGATGCCTTCAGGTTTTTAATACTACCAGTCCACACCTCAGTTAGTATTTATTCAAATCTTGTCTACAGCTTGGACATATCAAATTCCTGCATCATCAATACTGTACGTGTTCTTGCCTCAGATTTACATGGATTTGGTCTAATCCCTTGTATACTTTAACCTGCTGCTTTTACCATCCAGAGGATGCACACACATGAGTTCTTGGCTCTAGCACCAGCTCCTGGTCTGACGCTGGGCAGGCACTTGCCTCTCCATGACACAATCCTGCAGATCTGCTTGGTTTTCTCTCCTTCCTTCATGGGAGGATAACTAATGCAGGTAAAGCAGCTTGAGAGACACCATCAAGGACACTAGGCTGCTCACTGATGCTACACTTGCTGGGTTTTTAACCTAATTTGCAGCACATGTTGGGTTTTCCTCAAGAGTGAGTAGACTATACCACCAATCATGAAGCCCAAACTTCTTGTGTGAGTTATGAGGGAATGCCAGGAGCTGCACACTAACATGCTTGCCTCAGCTCTGCGAGCCCCACAGACAACAAGCATTTTCCCCCAAAGACTTGATGCCTCTGGAGAAGGCTCCCTCCTGCCTCGAAACCTTCTGGATCTTCCCCAGCAGCAGATAGTGGCATGAACCCCCACCTCACCCTCTCTGGGTTGAGTCTCTCTTTGTGCCCATGTGCTGTTGGTTCCTCATCTACACATCTGCACATTTGCAATTTTGCTCTGCAAATGGAGAAGTCAGCTCTAGCTCAGAAAAGCTCTTCCTTTCTTCAGAAAACTCTGCAAACCCATTGGCACTTCTTTCCAGATGTTAGGAGAGGAAAATAATAGTCATCTTCCCAAGCCTGTCCTGCCTCACCCCTTACAGGTCCCCTAAGGACATGACAACTACAGATATCCACAGCTTGTCCCTGGACCTTCACAGGCTGCTGCATGATGGGCAGCACTGAGGTCTGAGTGACTTTAAACTCAGTCTTTCAGCCACGTTCCCTATGAATTAACAAGTAGCTGCAGCAGTACTAGCAGTTGGACAGGTGATAAACGTATCTGTCCTCTTTCAGCTTGATCTCTGTCACCCTGCTGAGGACCCAGTGATCTCTAAAAGGAGGTGTGGGTTGCCTGGGCTGTGACACCTTCGGGTCTGGCCACGGAGGTCTGGCACACCTCTGAGGAGTAGCAGGTCCCAGAGGTCCCAGAGCAGGCAGGGGCCTGCGCTCTGTTCCCTGTCCTACTTTTGATTCATGACCCAAGGCAAATCCTACTGGACATCTCACGGATCTGTTTCCACACCCTCATCTATGTATGAAAAGTGATAGTTGTCACAACATGGTCTTAAATAAATGTCTGTGCCTAAGCCCAGCTCTCCGACTCACTGAGGGACCATCTCTGGTAAGGACAGACGCCAGTTGGAAGGGTTTGCATCTCTCAGCTCTAGAGGGCACCTAGCAGATGTAGACATTCAGGGAAGGAGTGAGGCTGTACAGGGGCAAGAGAAACTAGTGGGAAGCTTTGTGTTTGGTACCTTATTCTAATGTTAGAATAACAAAAAAAACCAAAAAGTGCTAATTACCTAAGATCATTAGAGAACTTAAGTTTTTTTAAAGTCTTCATCATAAATCCACTGCTCTATCTGCCAACTTTTGCAAATAGTTCTGGTGCTTGGGGCTGGAATCTTTGCAGTGGCAGTTGCTCTATCACTGTAGCACCAGACTTGAACATACCAAGAGTTGGGGGGTGAAGAAGGGAAGGTGATGCATCCCACCAGCAGAATTAATGAAGAGAAGTGCCCACATCCAATACACAGGCACAACTACTATTCGCAAAGTCCCTTTAGTTTGTGTCATGGGCCACTGTCCATCTACCCCTCCATTTCTGATGCTGTACATGGGCATGGCAGCCTCCAAATTTTGCCCAGGAGCTCTGGTGAGTTTTGGTGGTTGGGTCCCCAGGACTGCCCATCAGCCGCCAGGTTTAGCAGATGAGGTGAAGGGGAGAATGAACCTGCACATCCCTCTCCACTGCAAAGCCCTGCACAAAAGATGGGTTTGAGCTAAGGGGCTGCACTCTGACCGGGAAGATGAATGCAAGGACGTGCTTTATGTTGTTAAGTCTGCTAGAAATCACCGGTTGGCTGTGGGAAATGGCAGTGCCATCTCCTGGCCCCAACAGCACCTTGGTGAAGCTCATCTGTCTTTGCAATAGTAGGCTGTGCAGTGCCAATGCCAAGGTCCTTCACCGAATCCCAAGAAAACCTTGTTTTTCCCTTCTTGCTTGTCAAGCCAGATATTCTACAAAATACAGCTAGAAGAAAGCATGGCACCATTTCCTACTAAATTTACTCAATACCCACTTCCCCCTTCAGCCTGAGGAACATGAGCTCACATCTTCTGTGTACTTGTGAGATGTCCTAAGCCCCTAGACCCTGGAGTACCATATAGAGGATCTCACCGAGCCTCTCCTGTTGAAGTGGTTCCCCTTTGTATAAAACACACGTCAATATTCTTCGTGCCAGCAGAAGAGAGAACAGGCGCGGTGGTCAGGTTGTGGGCTGGTGGGTGTGAGTCCTGTTACCTGCTGCAGCAGCCTGCGCTGCATTACCAAAATCCCTGGCAATTCTAGCCCAAGTCACTGCCTTGTACACTAGTACACCAGCCAAGAATCCCAAGTGGGTTATATCATCAACTCTGTTAGTTTCAGTAGCCAGTAAGTAGCCAGTTGCACAGTAAGCGCAGAAAGTAGCCAGTTGCACAGCAGAGCATGCCCGAGGCAACTGTGGATTCTGCTCCCAGGCTACACTCTCTCCCATGGGCCACGGTCTCCAGATAAGAATTTCCTGGCTCGTGGCTGCAAGGTGCAAAGACCATGATAAGACAAGCTATGCCATCAGCAAAAGTATGTTCCAAGAGGAATAGTACTAATAAAGTATATTTTCTGCTTACCACAGTTGAAAGTATTCAGCACAATATGTCCATCTTCAGCTTTAGTAGAGCAGTGATGGGTGTTTTACTGAGGCTGTTTGGTCTTCTTCCAAGTGTTATTTTCTCTGACCTAAGTCTGGAAGGTCTCCACGCAGGCAGCTCTCAAGAACAGGACACCAGAATGGGAGCAACTCCAGCATGACTGCAGAGTCACTAAAGAAGAGGAAACGTGTGACATCAGCTCAAAGGAAATGAGAAATAAATTAAGCTGTAGAGGAAAGGCAAGTAACCACAGTGAAGATCTGGAAAGCCCTTAAAGCCATTTCCTCAAAGTATCTCTGCTTCTGATAAAGCTGAAAGAGGGGAAAGTTGGGATTTTCCTCTAAAGGCAGAATAAGAATTAGGAATCCACACCATGTCCCTGGTTAGATCTGGGATTAGAAAGTAATTGAGCATCCTTCTTCCAAAGAGATGAATGGCAGAAGCCAGAAGAACTTTCACTTAATAACTGAGGAAAGGAAGTGCCAGGAAACTCATATATTCCATGGACAGAATCATTCCCTAGCAGAGTCTCCTTCACACTTGTGATGGGGATAAACAGACCCAGGACTCTGGCTGTCCTTTTATCTCAGGGACCTTCAACGGACACTGAGACACCACAGCGTGGCAGGTCTTCACCTGGCCCATCCACCTTCACATCATGACCATCATTATTTGTGGCAGCCTGAAGACCCCAGTGATACAAATTGGTGGGGTGCTCAGGAAGACACAGTGACAAGCAAAGTTGTACAGATGGTCCCAGCTAAGCTGTGAATCCCAGGTTGTAGCTGCCATGCTGATGGTTAACCTCCCCTCCATGCAGACACTGCTCTTACACCTGCGCACAGTGCAGATGTGAGCTTGGAGCATCTGCACCATGTCTGGCACAAACCTCACACCTGCAGACACCTACAGGAACTGAAACACCGAGTGTGGTGCCTGGGTTCAGTGTGAAATACGTAGGAATGGAGCCACAAAGTCCATCACCAGCACAAAGAGGTGCCCGAGTCTGCAACAAGGCTGCTGAGGAACAACGTGGGCTCAAGCAGAAGCAGAAGAGGCCCATCCACACTGGTGCTCCCCTGGGAAGGCTGGGCCCTGCTGGCTCTTCTCATGGAATCCATCTATGTTAAAGAGCCCACGGTAGGCCCTGGCCATGTCCATGCTGGGAGGAGCACCCAAGACCCCCATGGTGTGGCGTCACCTCTTGGGAGAGCCACCAGGGACAGGCTGAGGGTTGTGTCCCCTGGGCCACACCAGCTGAGGGCACCAGCTGAACTTCTCCAGGAGCCAGGAGCTGGCAAAGACCTTGGGACACCTTCAGGTCATGCTTTTGCTGCTGGGCTGGCGAGCCCTGGCTCTGAGCTGGGACACAGCAACCTCATCATCAGCTGGGGAGATGGGGCACTGATAGAGGTGGCAAGGTGAATGGAAGCAATGCTGCTCTGCCAGAACACTGACTTTTGGCTTGCCTGGCCTCAGGCATCTCAAAAGCACAGAATCAACTAGATTGGAAAGGACCTTGAAGATCATTCAGTCCAACCATTCACCTGGCACTGACAATTCCCAACTACACCATGTTCTTAAGCGCTAAATCGACCAGAGTCTTAAACCCCTACAGGGATGGGGACTCCACCACCTCCCTGGGCAGCCCATTCCACTGTCTAACAACCCCTTCTGCAAAGAAATGATTCCTAATATCTAGTCTAAACCTTCCCTGGCACAACTTGAGGCCATTACGTCTTGTCCTCTCACTTACTACTAGGTTAAAGAGGCTCATCCCCAGCTGTCTGCAGCCTCCTTTCAGGTAGCTGGAGAGGGCGATGAGGTCTCCCCGCAGCCTCCTCAAAGGTTTCCTCCTCAGCCTCCTCCAGGTGATGGGAGCCGGGGCAGCCGGTGTGGTGCCCGAACCCACCCTCTGTCCATGCCAGTGGCTGGATGTCCCCAGTCTGGGGCAGGAAAAGCTCCAGCACTCATCTGGGCTGCTTTGCCTGGGTCAGCTCTTCCCTGGCTCTTCTCTGGAGCAGGCAGACGGCCTTTCCCAGGGCCCTGACAGAGGGAAGCACTGATGCACACACCGTGGTGCCCCAGGGGGAGCAGAAGCCCGCTGTGCACCCAGGTGCCTGGCAGTCACCAGGAGCCCCCGCCGAGCTCCCAGCCTGGCAGGCTGTTGTGGAAGCGCCCAGCAAACTGCTGCCCAAGCCAGGATGTCCTGCAGCTCTGGGCCCTGCTTGGGGGAAGCTCCAAAACACCCAGAGGTGCATGGACACCACAACTTGCACCACAGCTGGGACGCTCCCTGAACTGCTGTGGGTTCACCCTTGTTCCCCACAGCAACAGCACAGGGTGTCCAAGGGACTCGGAAACCTGCTGAGCTGAGCGGGACCCAAACTCCCCCAGCGCGAGTTTGCTGCGCAGCGACGCCCTGCCTGGGGTGGGAAGCCCATCTCTGCTCTGCTCCACAATGCCTCTGCGGGGGGATGCGGCGGGGGGGGGGC